GCCGCGGCCAGCGTGCGCGGCAGGAAGCGGAGCCAAACCCTTGGGGCCGGCGGGGCGCGGGGCTCTCCAGGAGCCGCCCGCCGGCCGCGGGACACATTGGTCTTGAAGCCCATTGTGCACCTGGGACCGCGGGCCAGGGCGCCGGAGCCGAGATGACCGTATTTTGTGGCGCGCCAGCAACACCTCCGCGGCCACCCCCTTGGAACAGGCCCCAGACCGGCTCTGCTGGCTAGCTCTGCCTCCACGCACCGCCGCTGTCCGGAGGCGCCCGGGACCTCTGATAACTCCGCTGCCCCCTCCTCGGGCATCTTAATTCCCCCTCACTACGCCTCTGCAACCCAGTGTGGTGGCAGGCTGCCCCCCTGGTTTCCTGCTGGGGTCCGTGCGATCTGTCTCCCTTGGGCATGGGCTGCACTGACCGAAGGCCTGTCACCCGGGCAGCCCAGCCGAGGATGCTGCTTGTGCAGCTACAGTTCTTAGCTGGACCGCAGCGGCCTCATGGTTAGCGCCTGGCTGAGGAAACCCTTCAGGCATTTCTCACAGGGAGCTGCTGTAAAGCCAGGCCTCCTCCATCGTCCCCTTGTGAAATCGGCTCTTGGAACCCAAGTGCTGGCCTTTGCAGTCACCCCTGTTTAACATCATCTTGCTGACATTCTAACCTGAAAAGAGTGGTTTTGAATCCTGATTCTGTCACCCAGCAGAGTGGCACTTAGTCCTGGCTTTGTCTCATCCACGCAGGTGACCACAGCCTTCCGTGGCTTTACCCAAGTAGCTGGTAGGTACCCAGAAGGCAAGGGACTCTGAAGCACACCTGGAGAGACCTCCTCCAGCCTGACTTTGAGATGCAAACCCACACCCTTCAGGTAAAGCGACGACACCGAGGGTGCCAGAATGGGGCAGCTCTGAACCCCGCATCTGTGCTTCTGCCTTCTCCCCGTCTCAGTGGCTTGTGGGTCCTTCTCCTGGGGTTGGGAATCGGAACACGGAGGCTGAGGGGATCCAGCTTCCAGGTGGGGGTGGTATTAATTTCCAAGGGCTGCCATAACAAATTACCACAAGCTTTGTGGCTTAAAACAATAGAAATCTGTTCTCCCCCAATCCTGGAGGCTAGGAATCTGAAGTCCAGGTGTCAGCAGGGCCATACTCCTTCCTGAGACTCTAGGGAAGGATCCTGCCTTTCCTCTTCCAGCTTCTGGGGGACCCTGGCAGTCCTCAGCGGTCTTTGGTTTGTAGCCACATTGCTGCAGTGTCCACATCTGTCTTCACGTGGCCTTTTCTCTGTGTGTGCCTCGTGTCCTCTCTTATAAGGACACCAATCATTGAATTAAGGGCCTGGGCTAATCCAGTATGACCTCATCTGAAGTAATTACACTGCAAAGACACTATTTCCACATAAGGTCACCTTGTAAGGGTCTAGGTGAACATAAATTTTGGGGGGACAGACACTGTTCAACCCACTACAGGGTCCCTGAGGGGTGGTGAGAGGACAAGTCATGGCATGCTGTAGCCATCGCTCTGCAGGAGCTACTGGGAAGCTGAGGAAGAGAATTCACCAGGAGAGTGGGGCAGAGTCGAGAGGCTATGGCACTCGCGGAAGTGCAGTGAGTGGCCATCTGGTGACTGTCTTCCCCTGCCTGCTTCCAATAACCCACTTCACTTGAGCTAGCTTGAATGGGCCTGTGATCCCAGCGACCAAATGATGCCTGTCTAAGACAGTCTTTGACCCTCGCCACAAATCCACCGAATGTGCTCTTTTAATCTCCAGCCTTTAACAGCGATGTCAGGCGCCGTTTTGCTGAGGGCAGGATACGCAATATCCGTAGCATGCTCTTGATCTGGTAACCACTGAGTGTCCGCTGCTTGGCAAGTGGGAGACAGCTGAGTGGGAGATGAACAGGGCCCTGCGCCTCGCCCCAGGCTGGGTCTGACTGCCTGGCAGCACACCCCTGCCGGCTCTGGAAGGAACCCCCTCCCCTTCCCAGAAACTGTGATCCTTTCCAAAGGGGTCCCGCCCCTTCCTCTCACTCCTTTCCCCAGCCCAGATGTGGGGCCCACGGCTCACAGGGAGGAGGCTAGATCCTGTTTGAACGTGGAAAAGTCCACATAACAAGGAGCTGAAAGGCCGGTCGGACCCCGCTTTCCCCTTTCCCAGGTGGCTGACATCAAACACCCTGTTCCCTCTTTATTTAGAACAGTCTCAGGGGCCAGCACCGGGGCCCTTTCCCAATGACGGCGGAGGACGTCAGTGGGGGAGATGCTCAGGGTCTTGGCTGGATCCAGCCAGAGTCTGGGGTCTCCCCCGCAGACGATGAGGCCACTTTGCATGTGCCAGACAGGAAACCGAGGCAGGCCAGAGGCAGGGGAGGGAGGCAGACTGGTCCTCCCCCTATTCAGACTGGAGTTTCCACACCTGAATGGAGGCGGCTGAGGAGCCACACACAGGGTCACGCTTTCTGTTCATGGGGACATGCACAGCCACATCCGGACACATTCTGTCCACCCCACACCAATTCCCTGTACACGCACACTTCCCCTACCTCCACTAGCCCCTGGACACAGAGTTGGCACCTCTCTCTCAGGAAGAACAGAGGATGCCATCAGGACAGGGAGCATAAAATCTTGTATTTAGGGTCCATCAGTAAGTAGCACAGAGTGGGGCATGAGTAGGAGCCTCTGCCAGACCCTGGAGCTTCCTTCCTCCATGGGCTCTTGGGGCAGAAGGAAAGAGCTGGCTCCTGGGGGCTGAGAGGCAGGCTTTCGTAGTGGTGACCCACTCACCTGGGATAGCCCTTCCACGCCTCCGTGTACTTCCCAGAATGCCAGGCTCCTCTCCCCTCTTCAGGCTCTTCCCACCTTGCAGGCTGTTCTCTGCTTTTTATGGAGGTCTACCACATAAGATCAGTGAGAGCCTCACAACGTTTTATGGAAAGTAGTTCCTCCAAAAGAGACAGAAGTAGAAAGTTCTGACCCTGTTAGCTTTCTGGCACAAGCCTTTCCCACCCTAGATGAGCCCCCTGCCACTGGGAGAAACCCACACACCCTAGAGCCAACTCTGTAGTGGCACCCACCCGAGGATGCAGGCTCCCCGCTCCACCAGCGCTTTGGCCCTGCCCCCCTCATCTCCTTTCTCCTAAGCCTGCGCAGTCCACCTCCCTGCACAAGGGCCACCTTTGGAAGTTCTGTGCAGCAAGGCTCTTTGCCCAGCTCCCTCTCTCCTCAACATAAACATCAGCACGCTCAAAGCCCAGCCGGCATTTTGATTACACCCTCACAGCTTCAAAGAATGTTACTGTCAAATCCACAGCATTTTGGGGCAGGGGTTTGGAGTGACCCCTTCCAGCTGGGCAGAAGCATGGCTTCTCCAGGACCCTGGGGTGTGTAGATGTGCAGCCCCCAGGTGAGGGCCTGGGAGAGAGTCCAGAAATCATGGGCACTGGACTTTGTAAAGCCAGGATGGACTGCCATTGAGTGAGAGTTGTTTAGAACGAACTTAAAAATTGTGTAGCACTGATGGGCCCTCGATGTGGACACATGCAAACCAGATGCTATCATTATGCAAACGATATGCAAAATATATGCTTGGGCCTCCTAACTTTTGCAAATGCCAGATGTGGCCCTTGGGGACCCTGAGTTTAGCTGAGCCCTATTGTGGGGCACAGAGATGACCTTGGACTTGCTAGTCTCTTACTGTGGGCAGGAAGTGCTTAGCTCTGAGGTTATTCAGATACTGGGGGAAGGAACCAGACAGGGAATCAATTGGACCTGGATTTGAAACCCAGCTCTTCTACTCGCAAGTTGCATGAGCTTCATGGAGCCATGTCACCACTCTGAGCCTCTGTCTTTTCATCTGTAAAATGGTTACTACGAGGACTAAATGAGAACATTGGCTGAAGCTCCCATCTGCATGGTTGGGTACATAAGAGACACTCAGCGAGGAGGCAGGGCTCAGAGTGCTTCTCTGAGAGGTGGACATCTGGGCTTCTTTCCACTCCCTAAAGTGTGACTGCTGTGGGCAGGACCCTCTCCAGGGGCAGCCGTGCAACTGTGGGCTTGGGGAAGGTCAGTGCTGATGGACCAAGTATCCACATGCTCCTTGTTCATTCAGAAGTCTGCCAGAGGTCCCACTCAACAGGGGTGTGGTGGATGCTGTTGGTGCCCTGCCAGACCCCATTTACCCTGCAGTGCACCTGCCACCCCCCACTGCGGGAGTGATGCCTGCTGGTGCTCACAGCTGCCCTTCCTGTGAACTGCCCTCCAACAATGAGAGCCACCCCCCTGGGAAGTTACAAACCCTCCCACCCCACAGCCAATGACCGGCTGATACAAGATACAAAAGGCTGGTCACTGTGCTCCAGGGGTTTATGTTCCAGGCCCCTCTGGGTCAGGTCACGTCTAGATTCTACCTGAAACCCCATTCTTGACCTGCAAGCAGAACTGGACAATGCATGTGACCTCACTATGTTTGAGGACCACAGGGAGGTGTGGGGTCACAGAGGAAGAAATGCCTGGGGTTGGGTCAGAGATGTCTCCTGGAGCTCACCTGTGGGGAGAAAACATCCCAGATGGTGGGCACAGCATGTGCAAGGCCAGGAGGCAGGAGACTGCCTGGTGTGCTTGGGGAACCCTGCAGAGCTCTGGGGGGACAGGCCCCAAGAGAGGCTGGCAGGGGCCAGACAAGAGGGGCCTTGGTATAGCAGGGGGATAGTGCATACAGAACTGTCTTGAAAAATGTCCCCTGGCTGTCACTGTACAGAGCAGGCACGAGGGGAGGCTGCCAGGGAGGCAGCAGCTGCTGACAGGGATGGGGGTGGGAGTGGAGGTAGATCCCAGAGGCTTTTAGGACAGAGAGCTGACAGGCCTTGGTTGCTGGTTTGGGGGCTATGAGTGTGGTAAGGATTCTGGAAGGTGCCAGGCAGAGGGGAGACAAAACATCAGGACAGGAGCAACCATGTGTGGGCAAGTGTGAGGAGAGAGGAGAGTTTAATGAGCTGTGCAGGGCAGGGCCTGCATTCCCTGTGCTGGCCACAGGGCAGCCACAGCCAGGCTGTGGAGGCTGAGGCTTGAGCGGGGAGGCCTCCTGGAAGGCGGGTGCTGACAAGATTGGGGGGCATAGCCGGCCCGATTCCAGGGGTTGGGAGCTGCTCCCTACTGCAGGGGCAGAGTAGAAGGCCCTGGGAAGTGCTCATGCCCGCCCTCCTCTAACTCTTCTATTCATGGGCAGTGGAGTAAAAACCACACAGGATTACCACCAGTGACAGAGGCGGCAGGCATGCGATGGGTGGGGGCAGAGAGGTCAAGCTGGCCCCAG